ATTCAAACTACTGAATATCATATTTTGTAAAGGCATCTTTAGCTCAGTTTCAGTAGAGAGAAAAGACAGGACAGAGTTTTGTTTTTTTAATTTTCTGTTCTGGCAATAAAGTAGCTCCAAGCAGGTTTGTCTCCTTCAGAATAACCTAACAAAGTCAGGAAAAGTGCTAAAATAAAGTATCTGGGGGCATGAAGTGTTTTTTAAAAGGCTTTTAAAACTCTAAGGCAAAAAATGGGTCTCAACATTAGATACTTTTTTACCGGTTTGGCTGTTCTGAAATGTGTTTTAAATTTATTGAGGTGACATTGGTTCACAGTATCACACAGGTTACAAGTGTACAACTCAACAAAACATCATCTACACACTGCATCGTGTACACATTGCGCAAAGTCTCTGTCCCCATTTATCACCCCCCTTCCCACCTCTACCTACCCCCATTCCCCTCTATCACCACACTGTCTGCCTCTATGTGGTATATATATGTTTAGGATTTTGTTTTTTGCTTCATCCTTCACCTTCTTTCATCCAGCCCAACCACCCTCTCCTCTGACAGCTGTGAGTCTGTTCCATGTAACCATGCCTTTTTCTGTTTTGTTTATCAGTTTATATTGGTCATTAGATTCCACATGTACGTGAGACCATATGGTATTTGAAATGTATTTTATAGTGCTGCAAACATTGGCGAGATAGTTCTTTTTCTTCTCTATTCACAGAAGGTGATGCATAAAAGATCCATTAACAACAGAGCATTTTAGTGCTGTTAGGTTACTGAAGGGCATAGCCTCTATTGGTGTCCTTCCCAGTATAACCACAGTAAAATTATGTGTTAACCTTCTCAAACAAAAATGTTAAATTTCAACTGTGATTTGGGCAGAATCCCACACTTTATTTTGCATAGTCCACTAGAATTTAAAAAACAAACTTTAAAATCTAAATATTTCCCAATAGAATAAAATTCCCATTCGATTTTAGCACAGCAGAAAAATTGTGTAAACGCAAACTTAAATTTAATTGAAAATGTTCATTACAGAAATTAACAATGCTTACCATTCTTTAAACACCATATACATTATTAATATATACTGTATATTTCCAATCAACTCCATTCTTAGGCTCAATTTAAGAAACACAATTTTAACAGGTTTTATACAAAAAATACTTCACTAAGAAAGTAGACAAACTGCACAAAAACAGTACATGTATAATGTGCATAGCAAGATTAGCTTGAAGCATCTATGTATGGCTTTCTTTAAAATAAAACTATTTGGGGAATGGGCCCATTTGGGACCTACTGTTACAGTTGGATATGTAAACTGTTTCACATATTTTAGGCACTTGCTAACAATAGTGTTCAATCCCTGAAAAATGAATTTACCCAAAAAAAAATTCTACATCTGAAATAAAAACCAAGAAAATAACATGGGTAAAGTCTTATATATTCCTTTTAAATTAAACAACCAGTTTTATTAGTGCATGCACAGAACTAAATCAAAAAAATAAAATAAACTTTTTGTCAAAAAATTTCTGTGCAAAATTTACACAACTGAAGATTACAAAAATATGTACAGTTTAAATTCTTTTTTATATACAGAAAAGAAGCCCTGAAGTTTTCATTCAATCAATGAAAATGTCATAATACTTGTAGTAACATGTAACAAAAAATTATATAGTATGTAATTTTGCAATAAAAGAATTCCGTTATCCAATTATCCAACAAAACTTGATCCAAACTTACGTAGTGAAAAGTTTAAACTAATGATTCTGTCACTACCATGTAAATATCCATTTTAAAACTCTACCTCTGTTGAGCATGTCCCTTAGGAATCTGTCCCGAAGTTTTATGCACCACCACTGAATCCATTACTAATGCTTATTTTCAACTGCCAACAATCCGTAAATAATCTGCTTTGGGTTATGTCATACAAAAAATTGTTAACAAAAGTGGTTTGTCCCAATGTGGAGATGTTTAGACACTAACAGTAATTAAACAAAGACAAAAACATGATTCACTTTGCTAATCTTGCTTCAAAATATTGTTTCTGTAGAATTTTTAGTTTTTGAGAAAAGCCATTCCCTTAAAAATGTTTCTAATGTTCCACTCTTTTTAAATAGATGACAACCAAGAAAACTTGGCAATTTGGCTTATGGGGGACAAACTATTTAAATCAAATACACAATAATTCTATGTAAGGAAATCATTAATCAGCCAACAGAAGTATTCAAGTTCTTTAATTGGACTTCATCCTAGACCAAGAGAGTTTAATTCTTCTTTCAAAGCTGCCCATCTGCTGCAATGTTTGAGATAACTATTTAGAAACTCACCCTGCAAGGGTGTTACAATCTCTGACATGAAACACAGCTTATGAGAAAAAAAAAAAAAAAACTTACTGGTCAAAAACTCTTTTTGAGCATTACGAATTTTAACTGTAGTGAATTAAATGTACTCTCAAAAGAATCTATATCCTTCAAAAGAATAGCAGATGTAGAGTTAAGTTCTTTACCTAAGCTCCCTCAGTATAGCCTCACAAATAATGTGAAACTCCTTCAATTCCATGGTGAAAGAGCTATCCAACTTCAGAGGAACTATACTTAAGATTCATAAGGCTGGTGGAAGAAGAGAGGGAATGGATGGGACTGTCAGCCATTACCAAGTCATTGAAGAACTGGGAAAACATTTTCATCAAAATTTTCTTTAGCCTTAACTTCCTAAGAACACATTTTTAAAAATCAAATCAAAGTATCATCTGTGCTGTAATGAATTTCTTTCAAAATTTATATGTGCAGTGATAGCATTTTCAAACATCACACATAAAACTTTTTCTCCTCTATGGCATAGAGCCAATTTTTAAATGTGTAATTTCAGGTTAAATACTGAAATAGAAAATGTTCACATTAAGGTAATTAAATCCACTGTTTTCTTCTAAGATAATTTTACTTTTTTTCCCTTGGTAATTACTGTAAATTATTCTAACATATTCCAATCACGAGTAGCTTCCATTAAATGTCTCTGCCCATGACCAGCCCAAGCATCCTGATTGTCAAATACTCTACCACAAAACCAACAGTTAAATTTAGTCTTCAGAACATTTTCAGAGGTAGTTTTCACAATTTGATAATTGTTTTTGCTTGTCTTTTTGAGTGTTAGTTTAAGTACAAATCTTTCTTTCACAGAACTAATAGGTTTAAATGTTTTATGCCTCTTGGAAAAATCACGATCAATTGTTTTAGAAGGATTACAACAAACAGGTTTCAGTAAAGCATTGATAGTTCTTTTTGACAATGAAACCTTAAGTACACGTCCATTAAATTTGGAAATCGTTTTCATTACATTTACTACTTCTGGTGCATCTGCATCCGGATGATTCAACACTACAACTGGTTGATTTCTCCTGGGACATTTGACAAGCTGTTTGGAACTAAAGGGGAAAAGTCGCAAAGTTCTGACTGAATCTTTTGAAAGCCTAGGTCTGCTAAATCCAAATGATTCGTGGATATCTTCAGGTTTAACCTTTTCTTTACACTTTCTATGTAATGTTGCTTTTTTTCTTGGAGGTTCTTGGTAACTATCCCTACACTTTCGTTTACAGTTTCTGTTTCTAGATACACTGGCAGTTTCACAATCTGTACTTCTTACATGAGTTTTTATTCTTGAAAAATTTTTTTTGGAAGTCTTTTTTCTATTAAAGCTTCTCTCAATTGTACAATTTGTTTTACACCTCAATACCCTGGCCTCTGAACGGTCAGTGGTACGTATTGGTGCCTCAGAAGATTCTGGGCATGTTGCAGTAGAAGTTACCACAATTTCATTTGCTGGCATCATATCATCTAGTAAGAAGGGTAAGGCATCTCTAGAAGATTCTGGCTCTTTCTGCTCTCCTCCTGCAGTCTGATTAGATGATACATTGTCTTTCTGCGACGAGGATGCAGAGTTGCTTACTGACAGATTATTAGCAGCAGTCACATTCAAAACAGGGTTAAAAATTTTCAGCAATATTTTTTGTGGTGTTCCTTCAGGGTTCTTTGGCTGTATATTTTTATAATAAGTACTATTTTGAACTAATTTAGGCTTAAGCAGCTCAGTTTTATTTGGCATCACACATTTTAAAAAAACAGCTTGTTTACCATCAGGCAAGAGGGTAAAAAGAGGTGGTTTTGGAAAAATCTCATTCTGCTGTTTTACTGAATCCAAGATATTCGACTTAGCGCCCTGATGCTCAGATATTATATTAGGATGAGGAACAGCTTTCACTGAAGAACTCGCTGGCGTTTTAATAATGTAAGGGCCTTTTAATGGCAAAGTATTTTCTGAGCTACTTTTCATGCTCAAACAACTGCCAATGCTGGAACAAAGTGTAGGTGTCAGACAATTATTGTTTGGTTCTACCTTTAAAAAAGGTGTTCTGCAAGGCTCTTTTGTTGTAGTTCCACAAGCTTGAGCACTCTCACTTTTGACATTGGTAACACCTTCAAATTTCCCATTATTAAATGTTAAAATCATCCCAGGTTTCTTGTTTAAAAGAAGAGTAGCAGGTACACCTTGCGTATTAACCTGTGGTTTTCCTGAAACAACATGTAATCCAGGCTTGTTAGCCATGTGCAATGGTACAAAAAAGCCTTTTGGAGTCTGAACAAGTATAGCTTTTTTTGGTTCTGAATTTACAAGTGGACTCTGCATATATAAAGAACCTAAAGTTTGTGTAGTGGCTCTTAGTTTGTCTTTTACAAGCTGCTGTGTTATTATTGCATCTGACTGAGTCTTAAGTAATGTGCCAATACCTGAAATTCTAGGTGTCTTCTCTGAATCTCTCATGTCTTGTGACACTGACAGCAATTGTGTTTCTTTCCCACTACATTTTAAATTCAGATCATTTGTAGGCACATTAATCCCCATACTACCAGATGGAAATGGGAAGATACCTTGTACTTGGAAGTCTTTTGAAGAGTCAATAACTTTGCCTTCTCCCTCATGTTTCTGAAATGACTGGTCACAGTGAAGTGACAGGCCTTTATCAGGAGTGTTACCAGAGCCTTGTTTTACATCAGATTTCGTTTTTAATACATCTTGAAGTAACTGGTTTACTTCAGGTGGCAAAAATTCTGATGCCTGCTCACTCTGGAGAGAGAACACAGATGTGATTCTAGGCATCATAGGTGACTCAATATTAGAAATGTCATTAGATTTTTCAGTCATGCTCTCTAAATTTTGATTTTCATTAATATACAGGTTCTGTCCATCAATGTTTTGTCCTTTTTCTAAAACACACTGTTCTTCTATTTCAGCTTGAGTTTTTAAAGTTTCATCTTTAGTATTTAAATGGCTAACAGATGCTAACGTACTGTCTGGGTTTGAGCTCTCCTTTCTCACTAGTGATAAAAATGATTCACTTACTTGTTGCTGAACTGTCCTGCTTGATGAAGGTTCTCTTTGAGGACTTTCACACGTTGCTGTTCCTGAAGACCTACGATGTTTATTAGAATTATTCACTTTTGAGTAATTATGAAAAGGTAATGATCCTTGGTTGGAAGATTCAACAGGTAATTCAGAGTTGACATAATTAATACAATAGTTATGCATATCTCCACTGCTGTATGCATTTGGTTTGTTAGTAGAGTTGACTTTATCTGGACTTTTAATAGCAGTACCTGATATCTCAGGGTGACTATGAGAAACATGACTACCCAATAAGTCAACACTATCTCTTGTTTCAACTTTTGTGGTCAGGTTCACCGATGATGTAACTAATTCTGATGATGTTGGCAAAGAAGATACACTTTTTTCATCATCCACTGTTTGAAGTGTATTACTCATTTGAGACAGCAAAGCTATTTCTTTTTCTGAAGTTACTTTCCCTGCAAGTATAGGAGAGGAACATGAAAATGAAGTTGCTTTCATGTAAACTGTGTCACTTAACTCAGTTGTTACTCTTGTTAAAAATCCAGTGGTGTCCAAACTCTGCAGCTGCAAATTAGCAGTACTGTCCCTTTCAGCACCTGACTGTGAGCCTGGTGAATATAAATTCTGTTTATTGGTAGGCAACAATTTTATTACAATATGTTGTTTTCCATCCACCATCTTGAAGCCCATAAACTTAGCACTATAGTTAGCTGGAACTGTTATTCTATTATTTTTTACCATTAACACTGTAGGTCCCTGTACAGCAGTCTTCGAGAAACCTGAAGTAGAATTTGATAGTTCTTCAGCTCTATTATACTGTCCAGTGGACAGAAGAGTTGGCTTTTCAGACTCTGACTCAGCAGGTTTATCATTACTCTCACAGTGCAGTTGCTCATCCTTTTCTTCATTTAAATGTTCTTGGGTAAGATGGCTCTGGTCTTCAGATTTAGCCTGTGTTTTGTTCACTTTTTTAAGCATTTCAGTGTTTTGTTCTATACTTTGATCACTTCCATTGCTTATTTTCTTATGTTTCCAGAATATCTTCCTAGATGCACCTATTTTGTATCTTTCCAGTATTAGCTTAAGTCCTACTGAAGTCTGTGCCATCCTTTTTTCATATTTGTCTTTTTCCAATTTTTCTTTCGCATATAAATGTTCTTTGTGTAAAGTTAAAACATGTCTTACAAGGTGCTCTCTCCTTGTGGCACCATAGCTACAATATTGACAAGTGAAGGGAAATGTAACAGAATGAACATGAAGGTGCTTCTGAATCTCTCCTCTGGTAAAATATGTATGATGGTATTTATCACTTTTATAACGGATTTCATTGTGTCTATGAATGTGCTGAACAAATGTGCCAACATCCAGGGTGGAGAATGTGCACTTTTCACATTGAAAACTACCATTTACACAATGTTTGGATACAAAGTGTTTTGTTAAGTCTAATAAAGTATACACACTCTCATCGTTACAAATGTCACATTTTACTGAAGTGCCCCTATGGATTCGTCTGTGTAGTTTAAATATCTGGAAGTCATTTGCTGAAAAACTGCACATTTCACAAGGATATGAAGGTAATTCGCCATGGTGCCACATTTGAAAGTGTTTCTGCAGATCATTTGGGCTATATCGAGTGCTATCTTGGCATTTTAAACAGTTGAAACTGAGTATTTTTGCAGACATTTTTATACCTGCTTCTTCAACTCTCTCAGACTTACGGAGCTCCTCTATATAGCTTACAGTCTTTATATTGGTAGATTTCCTTGCAGTCTGTGGTTTATGCTGAAATAATTTTCTGTATTTGTCAACTTCATGTTTCCATAGGACTTCATTTGGAATATTTATCTTCGGCAAATCAATTTTCACATTTTTCAGTTTATAATGACAACTACTTTCCAAAATTTGTGGTTTAATTACTGATCTGATAGTATCAACTATGTCATTTTTCACATCATAATCTTTTTTTAAAGTAGCTTGTTTTTCATCAAAAAATAACTGTTTCTGTTCAGATTGCATGATTTAACAACAAAAATATCCCAATTATTTTTTTCTGAAAACTCTTGAAATTATTTGTAATTTAAACAGGAAACAATACTATGCCGAGACATCTTCAAAATACCAGGATTTTCCCCACATTAACTCACCTAAAACCAAACAAAGAGTTGAAATTTTCATTACAAAAGTTATCAGTAAATTTCATATATTTTTAAGTTCATTTTGACACAATGTAGGAATGTTGCTCAATACATAAATAAAAAATATAATAAAAGATCTGTTAATTATTTTAAGAACAGCTTGCCAAGAAGCAATAGTTTGAAGTAGAAATAACTCTAACACGGAAGTCAGGAAATACAAGTTTTACTCCCAGCTTTGCTGTTGTACTGGGCAAGCTTCAACCTCTCTGCACTTCAGTTTCAGCATCTAAAGAAAACCACAATTGGAAAAGTACCCTTAAGCTCTCTAAGGTTTCTATATTAAGTTGAAACTATAGTTTTTAAACAGGACTTATAAAATCTTAAAAAGAGAGCCCTAAAACCTTACATTCCAATTACACACATGTACCATTAACTTTCTCATTTGCTTATTAGTTGACTCTATTGCTGTTATTAGCTTGTAAAATTTCCAATAAACTTCTCTCCATATTTGCTACTTTAGTGCCTTAGGGATAATTTATGTTTAAAGTTTCATTCATTAAACAACAAAATGACATTATCTGCTCTCTCAAGTTATCATTACTAACATGTAAAAAAAGGAACAAAACAGAAGAAATGAAAACGAAAAGCACATTCCCCTGAAGTACTCCTAAAGTTTACCTACTACCTTTCTGGTTCCCTACCATTTTGGCTATCTGGCTTTTTGTCCCTAGAACTCAAGACAGATGGCAGTAAGGAAAGCTCTTGGCAGATTAGAATGTACCCATTACTATCTGCCTCCATTAATTCAAACACTTACTTGTTTACATTACTCTAGAAAAGTGTCAATCTCTGTGTCTTAGTTTCTTCATCTATAAAATAAAAAATAAGAAATAATTAGTACTCCCCTACCTTTTTCATGGAATTGCTGAGATTAAACGAGAAAACATATGTAACAGTATCCTGTAAAGTGCAAAACAAATTGCAGCTTCCATCATTACTGTACGTAATTACCATGTATGAGGAAATATGATTCAAATTTCAGAGGAATAAAAAGTAGTAAGGCCCTGGCTGGTTTGGCTCAGAGGTTAGAATGTCAGCCCATGGACCAAAAGTCCCGGGTTCGGTTCCCGCTAAGGGCACATACCTCGGTTGCAGTTTGTCTCTGGCCCTGGTGGGGTCGTGTGGGTGGCAACCACTCGATGTGTCTCTCTCACATCGATGTTTCTCTCTTCCTCCCTCTCTCCCTCCCGCTCTATCAGAAGACAAATGCAAAAATGTCCTCAGGTGAGGATAAAAAAAAAAACTATTGAAAAAATTACATTTTCTTACTTTCATGATCTTAAGTATGTACGAATAATAGATAAACTTTGATAAGCTAAAGAAAACAAAGTAAAAATCACATTTAACTTCATCTATAATGTCTACCCAAAGATCTCAGGTTTAAATTTCAGTTAATGTAAATAACTAGAAACTTCACTGTTCTAGAAATTCTTTATTCAGGTAATATAATTAGAAATCACATTATTTTACATAGTCAAGGCCCTTTTAATATTTCTCAAGCTTAATACTTTTGGTTGGATTTAAAAAATACATTCTTCAGTATTCTTCAAATACATATAAATATACTAAACTGATAATAAATTCATTAGAAAGGTACCAGTTTATTGAATTTATACTATACCTAACAGAGTAAAATAGTAAAATTTTTACTCTAAATTTTTTACTACATTATTTGAAGTTAAATGTAGAACCTTTTTCTTCAAAAGTAAGAAAAACAGCCCTGGCCACTGTGGTTGAGTTGGCTGGAGTGTCATCCCACGCGCCAAAGGCTTGCAGGTTCAATCCCCGGTCAGGACAAGTGCAGGAGGCAACAGATTAATGTTTCTCTCTCTCTCTCTCTCTCTCCCTTCCTCTCTCTCTAGAATCAATATCCTTGGATGAGGATTTAAAAAATAATAAAAATAAAATAAAATTTTAAAAGTAAGTATAATAATAAATGGCTAGAAAAAAGTTCAATGATATCTGGTGGTTACTCTACCCCAAATGAGAAGATTCCCTAAAAATTATCACATTCTAAACAGAGACAAGTATCGTGATCACATATGGAGTTTTCACCATACCAGAATCTGAGGGTGGGGTTCAAACATAAAAAACTTTTTAAGCACACCTAGTAATGGTTCTTCTCCACTGGCCAGAATATCATATTGTGGTCATTATGGATTATCCATACCCAAGCTTTTCTATTATTATACATAATTAAGAGGTGACCATATCATGAGTTTCATCACAAAAGGCAAATTGTTTTTACAGTAATATTTCATGTGTCCAAAAATGTGTGTAATGCTAAAAAAAGAACAGATTTTGGTATTTCTAAATACCATTAATTCCATTTCACAACATCTACACTACTTAAAATTTTTATAAGAAAACACATATCCCAAAGTCTGACAAGCAGTGTAAAGATATGATTTTAAATAACTAGCATTTACTAACATTAACCAACATTTACTAATAAATACCTACTATGAATGTGAGGCATTTTGATGGGTGTCATGGAGATTCAGAAACTTGGTCCTTACCCTATTGCAGCTTACATTCTGAAGGCGGAGGCAGGACATACACATTAACACACCGCTTATTCAGAGCTGACCATCCAGGAACCTCACCCTTTCAGTACACAAAGAATAGAAAATAATTAAATAGGATACATGGCAGTCAAATCAAATGCCAAAAAGTTTACTCATTAAAGTGCCTGCCCTTTCCTCATGGGCAAAACAAAGCTGATAAAAAGAATCAACTTATGCCCTGGGTTGTTTTGCTCAGCAGTTAGAGCATCAGCCCACAGATTAGAGAGGCCCAGGCTCCATTCCCGCTAAGGGTACGTACCTTCATTGCAGTTTGTCCCCGGCCCCATTTGGGGTCATGTGAGTGGCAACCTTCGATGTGTTTCTCTCACATGGATGTTTCTCTCTCTCTCTTCCTCCCTCTCTCCCTCCCGCTATAAATCAAGATAAATGCAAAAATGTCCTCAGATGAGGATTAAAAAAAGAATCAACTTATTAAGAAACCTACTTAGATTTTACTTAAGTTTGATAACTGCTAAATAATTAATGTTAAATGTCATTATTTTTTATAGTTAATATATGGCATATACAATATAGTATTAGGGGACTTTGTGTATTTTAGGTAGTTCTGGGTTTGTTATTTGCCCTCAAATTTTAAATCTAGAGAATCTTTTGTCTTCAACTATATTCAACCTATAGTAGTACATGGAACCAATCAAAGATGATACCCTGGTAGCAAATCATACTAGGGTGGCCACCTATGGAGAAAAATGTACTGCATGTTGGGAACATTTCAGATAACATAATAAAAGGAAAGAGAAACTTACTATAATTTTCATCTTCCAATTTATTAGCTTATGCTCTTTTTTCACTACAGTCTAATCTCTACTCCACCAATAAGGATTATAAATTTTAAATCTTCTATTTAAATTACTGCCTTCTATATATGTATTATTTTATTTCCTCATAAGACTTGACCAACATCTATCTCATCAAGCCATGAAATAACACAATTTGTATGAAGTATGACTGGCCCTTTAAAGTAGCCTGAAGAGTTTCTTGCACCAAAATTAAAGTTTAAGCAATTTTGTTTCCTTCCTTTCCCAATTGCCCACTAACAACCCCCCCCACCCCCCAAAAAAAGAGAAAATCCCACAAAATGGCTAGAAACTAGAAAACATTCCATAGACATACTGCAAGGTGTCTGCGTAGGAAATGGTCCAGAGAAAGAAGAGTGAAAACAAATGCTGACTGATTGTCAGGTACCTCTTTTAAAGAGGAAGCCTAGCCCAGCCGGTTATAGCTCAGTGGATTGAGCATCATCCCATGGACTGAGAGGTCCTGGTCTGATTCTTGGTCAAGGCACCCGCTCGATCTCCAGTGGGGGTGCATGCAGGAGGCAGCGATCAATGTTTCTCCCTCACATCAATGTTTCTCTCTCTACCTTCCTCTCTCTCTAACAAAATCAATAAAAACTATTCTAAAGAGGAGGTCTACTAGGGGACATTCATTCAACCAATATTTAACGAGTATCTATCTATTACGCCTTTAGTAAGGAAATGAGTATAATTCCGTCCACTCCCTCCCCTAAACATACCTTGGAAGAGAAAGCAAGGGCTTGAAAGGAAGATTGTATGGAGCCCCCTGGGACAACAGATGTCTCCAGCTGAGGTATGGGGAAGAGAGGATGAATCCAGAGCTTTGATCTGGGTCCAGAGGGCAAGCAGAGTTGGGGGTTGCTAGCACCAGCTATTAGAAAAAATGTGAAAAGGAAATTATTTCTGAAAAAAGATACATCTTCCTATATCACTGGTTATCTCCTTCTGCTTAAGACTTCTGTCATTTCTCCACATAAGTAAATAATTATCTCTAAGCTGTTAGAAAATCATTATATTAACTTTCCTCCACCCCCCCATCTAACTAAAAAACAAGAGTATCTGGGTTTACTCTCTAAGAATTAATATCAGCTACCAATGCCAATAAAAAAGATAAGTAGGCAGAAACATCACTGGATGCAACTGCTCAGAGAAAGGGTAAATAACCTAACACTCATCAAAACCTAACTTCTATTCTCCCATCCAGCACAGAAAACAGTAACTATAAGGTAAGTTACTGTAGGAAAATGGAGTAAACTTTAAAGAAAAAAATCAAGTAATAACTGGCAATCTCATTAAGACCCAAGATAACATACTAAAAGAAAGAAAGAATATACTGTAATAAAAGAGAGAACAAAGTAGATGGAGGAGAAATAATGATTTTGAAAAAATTACATTGAGTTTTTTTTAAGACTTGTATTTTCAAAATGAAAGGCTCCCCAAATGCCTGACAAGATTATTAGTGGAGGGAGAATAAAACTCAGTATCTACAACTTATCCTAGTAAAATTGAGTTTAAAAGATAAAAATGAAATGTTCTTTTTACACAAAGGTTACAAAGAACAGTTACATAAAAAGATATTCAAATTTTCATCTGCAATAACAACTTTAATCAGATAACAATATTAATCAGATATTTAACAAGTCTAAATGCTAGGAACAATGAAATAATATTTATAGAGCTCTGAGAGAAAATAATTGACCCAAAAATTAATCCTACAATCAGGTTAACTCCTATGTGAGAGAAAAATACAAGTTTAGATATGCAAAGATTCAGAGACTATACTGCATATGTACTCTTTTGGGAAAAAAAGTTTTAAGTAAATACTTGAGCAAACTTGAATTTCAATCAGAAAAAAACTAAAAAGAAATAATTTGAAGAAATATCTGTCAACAATAAAATCTATAAAATAGAAATAAATATATTTTAATATGATTAAGAAAACAGAAAAGGCTGGAGGAGAAAATTTACATCATGACAGATACAACAAGTTCTTCAAGAAAAATTAACAATGGGAAAAAGAAAAGGTAACAATAGCAACAAAATTAAAATATATTTTAATACAGTTAAGAAAACAGAAAAGACTGGAGAAGAAGAAATTTTACATCATGACAAATATAAAAAGTTCTTAAAGGAAAATTAACAATGGGAAATAGAAAAGGTAACAATAGCAACAAAATTCTAGATACTGGAAAGCAGATAAATAAGTAAAGGACTTTGCAGACCCAAGGAAACACTCCCAGGCAGACAGTGGGCAAAGCTAAGAACTAAGCCATTTTACACTTTGAATCTTCAAAAGGATTAGGAACTGGCAGCACCAAATGACTCTAAAATGGGAAAGGAGTAGGAAGCTAAAATAAAGAGAAATTTGGAGAAAGCTGTTTTTGGAGAAAGTTTGAGTTGGTTAGATGTTAAGATTCCCTTCCCTATTCCATGCTGGGTAAGTGCTGTTCCTCCACCACAGCAGAAGTCTGGAGGTTAATTCTCTGCAGAGGATAAACAGAATCTCTGAAATAGAGCATACCAGGCATAGCTGAGAGTGGCTACCTAAAGGTAACAATCAGAGACATTCATTACAACATTATTTACAAAAGTCACAAAATTAAAAATAACTAAATGTCCACCAAAAAATAAATTATGGTATTTTCTTCTACTTATTAACCCTCACCCGAGGATATTTTTCTATTGATTTTTAGATAGAATAGAAGGGAGAAAGGGAGCGAGAGAGAAACAGCGATGTGAGAGAGACACATTGATTGGCTGCCTTCTGCATGACCTCAACAGGGGCCTGGGATTGAACCTGCAACTTAGGTGCATGCCTTTGATCAGGAATCGAATCCAGAACCCTTTGGTCCAAGGGCCGACACTCTAACCACTGAGCCAAATCGGCCAGGGCAATTATGGTTATTTTCATTCAGTGAAATATTATTCAATTTTTACAACAATATAATATAAACACACATTTATTTTAATAGAAAGATATCCAAAAGGCATTAAGTGAAAAAATAGAAAACAAACAGTAGATTTATCAGGCTTTAATATATCAGGCTACAACTATCGATGTAACTAGAGAAAAGACACATGGACTCATACAAACTCACGTAAAAAGTCAATCATACACACACACAACAATATTAATACCTAAGGCAAGAGAAACAAAGGACAAAATGAACACATGGGACTACACCAAACTAAAAAGCTTCTGAACAGCAAAAGAAATAACCATCAAAACGGAAAGGGATCCCACTATATGGGAGACCATAACTGCCAATGATGCATCAGATAAGGGGTTAATTTCCAAAATATATAGAACGCTCATAAAATTCAACAAAAGGAAGACAAAAACCCAATTAAAAAATGGGCAGAGGACCTAAATAGACACCTTTCCAAAAAGGACATACAAATGGCCAAGAGACATATGCAGAAATGCTCAACATCACTAATCATCAGAGAGATGCAAATTAAAACAACTATGGGGGGGAGGAGATAAACCACAAAACTTATATGCATGTAGGCATAACCAATGGATATGGACAGCAAAGCCGGGGATGGAGTGGGGGGGATAGAGAGGAGGGTGTCAATGGGGTAAAAAAGGAGAAACATCTGTAACAAAAATAAAATAATAAAAAAAAACAACTATGAGGTATCACCTCACACTTGTCAGAATGGCCGCCATCAACAAATCATCAAACAAGTGTTGGCAAGGGTGTGGAGAAAAGGGGACTCTAGTACAGCCACTGTGGAAAATGCTATGGTGTTACCTCAAAAAGTTAAAAATTGAACTGCCATTTGACCCAGTGATCCCACTTCTAGGAATATACCCTAAGAAACCTGAAACACAAATCAGAAAGAATATATGTACCCCTATGTTCACAGCAGCACTATTTACAATAGCTAAGATCTGGAAACAACCCAAGTGTCCATCAGTAGGTGAGTGGATTACAAAGCTGTGGTACATATACACAATAGAATACTATGCAGCTGCAAGAAAGAAAGATCTCTTATCCTTTGAGATGGTATGGAAGGACCTGGAGAGTATTATGCTCAGCGAAATAAGCCAAGCAGAGAAAGACAAATATCACATGATCTAACTTATTTGTGGAATATAATGAACTGCTGAACAAAATTAACCCAGAAACACAGAGGTGGGGCACAGACTGACAAGCCTCAGAGGAGGGGGGGGGCGTTTGTGGGGAAAGAGATAAACCACAGAACTTACATGCATGTATGCAACACCAATGAACATAGACAACAAAGCTGGGGATGGGGCAGGGGGAGGAGGGAAGGAGGGTGTCAATGGGGGAAAAATGAGAAACATCTGTAACAAAAACAATAAATAAAAAAATTTTTTTAAATAAAATTAAAAAATAAAACTACATCATAAAAATGGCTCAACCATTATCTACAGAAAAATAAAAAGCTGCAATTTCTATAATGCCATTCAAAGCTAAATAAAAATTGTTTAATTATAAAAAAATGTTCATAGTGATTACTGATTATCGTTAGGTCAGTGTTTCTTAAAATGTCCTCGGATCACTATGGCCTCCACACTGGCATACTGCACTTCCTTATCATAGCATAAGTAATTAGCTTACTTTTGGATGTAATAAGAATGACAATCTCTTTGCCTCTAGACCACACTATTATGAAACTTTATCAAAAATGCCATGAAACCTTGAAAATTTTGAAATTCTCAAACAGAGCGAGCAAGCAAGTTCTGTGACAGAGTTTTTCCTAAACTTAAAAGAGTAATCTTGAGCCAGTACAAAATTGATGAATGTTGACACTAAAGGTGAAGAAGAAACCAAAATAAAATAGATTACTCAACGTTGTATTCCTCAATCAACACACAGGTACCCAATCACACCACCACAGAAAAGCTTTTAACAAAGCTAATGGCAAACATAACACTCAGAGAATGAAAAATTATGCGATTAGATGTCCCTCATGCTTTATAAATTCATGCTCTAAGAGAAGTGATTTTTTTGTTTAAACAATTAATTTGTGAGCCTTGATGTTACCTAAAAAATAAGTGAAGGGAACTAGTTTCACCAGAATAGCAGCTATGTATGCAGTGTTGTTAAACAAATAAAATGTTACATGTATTTTATATAAAAAGCTAATAATATTCAATTAATAATATGCTTCATGATCTTGGTACATTGTTAAAAGAATAAGAAATACTAAAAAGTATAACAGTAACCTATTATTTTCTATATACTACACAAATAGTAAGTATAATGTTGAACTATTTTTACATTAATTAAGTATATCATTCTTTTTTTTTTAATCTTCACCCAAGGATATGTTCATTGGTTTTTTGAGCGAGGAAAGGAGAGAGGGAGAGAGAGAAACATCAATTGGTTGCCTCCCGTATGCACCCTGACCAGGGATCAAACCTGAAATCTAGGTATGTGGCCTCACCAGGAATTGAACCTGAAACCTATTTGGTATACAGGACAATGCTCCAACAGAGTCACCTGGTCAGGGCTAAGCATATCATTCTTTTTTTTTCTTTTTTAATCCTTACCCGAGAATATTTTTTCTATGTCTCTTCAGATAGAGTGGGGCGGGGGATATCGACGTGAGAGAGAGACATCAACTGGTTGCCTCCTGCACAACTCCAACCAGAGCCAGGGACAAACCGCAACCAAGGTACTTGTCCTTGACCGGAATTGAACCCACGACTCTTTGGTCTGATGGTCGATGCTCTAACCGCTGAGCCAAACCAACCAGGGCAGCATATCATTCTTTAACAAAGTCCTGGTTGTGCCCGGCCAGAGAAGCTCAGTGGATTGAGCATCATACCATGGACTAAGAAGTCCCGGTTTGAGTCTAGGTTTGATTCCTGGTCAGGGCACATGCCCAGAATGTAGGCTTGATCCCCAATAGGGCATATGCAGGAGGCAGCCAATCAATGTATCTCTCTCACATCAATGTTTCTACCTCTCTCTCTAAAAAAAAAAAAAATAAATAAAATCATATTTTTAAAATAAAATAAAGTCCTGGTTGTGTTCTAACAAAATTTTATTTAGAATTTTCTTTTTTATTGCTTTAACAGTTTTGCTACTTCATCTGTTCTGGAATAATTCACATGAGAATTGCCCACTCCTTAGAACTGCATAGGCTGTACCAACAAAACCATATGGGCCAAAACCAACAAATCCACTTCTGTGGATTTTAGGCTTTACAACTTTGCAAGTTCTTCTATGGTTTCCGGGGTCTTCAAGTTTTCTTGAGTCACTTTTGGCAATTTATATTTTCCTTGAAATAATCAATTTCCATCACATTTTCTAAGTATACTTCTATAATCACTTTTTATATTCTAATCTACAAATAAAACCACGACAGAGACATTTATTAGAATCACTTAAATGTCCATGAATAGGAAAATGATTAAATTATGGAATATTCCCATGAAAACATTATAAAGAAGTATATGTATTAAAATTATTTAGAAAGATAATTATGGTGATTTTTTTTGTTTTTAAAAAATAAAGATGCCAATTAAGGCAAGTAATACATTTTTAAATAAGGAGGAAAGATCCTCATTTTTATATCAGGAGGAAAGGTCCTATGAGTATATGTTCATATAAACAAAGACAAATCTATGGAAAAATATCCTCCAAACTATGGAAAACAGGTTAATTTAAAGATATGACACCACAGCATAGCATAATAAACAAACCAACCAAAACAACACGGAGAGAACCCTCAACTCTTCTAGGTACCTTGATTGAAATCAAGAGGGTAATGTTATCACCACAAGTCTTTACTGGGGCCTGGCTGTGTATTCCTGCCACTGAATTCTAGGAAATCCTGTATTCTTAAAATAATTCCCCCTTTTCAGCTTACACTATCTTAAACTAACATAAGCTAGTTCTATTACTTGTAACTAAAGGCTCTTAAGACATTAAGTTGATAGATCAATGTTAACTGTGTTTATTTCACAGAAAAACAGACGATCCTTTAAAGAATAATGAGACTTATGCCCTGGCTGGTTTGCTCAGTGGTCAGAGCATCGGTGTGCGGACCAAAAAGTCCTGGGTTCGGTTTCTGCTAAGGCAGTGGTTCTCAACCTTCCTAATGATGCGACCCTTTAATACAGTTCTTCATGTTGTATGTGGGCGTATCTGCATGTGGGCGGACCCGCCTGGAGACGGATAGAAGAGCCATGTCTCAGCTCCTAAGACCATCGGAAATATGTGTTTTCCGATAGTCTTAGGAAACCCCTATGAAAGGGTCTTTTGACCACCAAAGGGGCTGCCACCCACATGTTGGGAACCACTGTGCTAAGGGCACATACTTTGGTTGCAGATTGTCCCCAGCCCGGTTGGAGTAGTGTGAGTGGCGACCACTCGATGTGTCTCTCTCATATCGATGTTTCTCTCTCTCTCTTCCCCCCTCTCTCCCTCCCACTCTATCTAAAGATAAACGCAAAAAATGCTCTCAGGTGAGGATTTAAAAAAAAAAGCATAGTGAGACTTAAACATGTAAGAAAGGAGCAAAGGCATCCAGACCAGAAAACCAGAACAAAGAAACGTTGGAAGAAAAGCATTTTTCTCTTATGGCACTACCGGATCTAGATCAAAAAGAGAATATATAATGAGGATTTAAGAAAGAATACACTAGCCCTGGCTGGTTTGGCTCAGAGGTTGGAGTGTTGTCCTGTGGACCAGAGCATTCCAGGTTCGGTTCCTGCTAGGGGCACGTACCAACAAACAAACAAACAAACAAACAAAAAAAGCAGAAAGAAAGAATACACTATAGAGGACAGATCTGAACTTCAAATAAAAGGTAACCAGAAATCACTGTTAGTTCTTAAGAACAGAGAAGTTATAAAAGCACTATTTTAGAAATATTAGAATGCTACCTAAAAGCAAGCAAGATACAGTGAAGAAAGTAAAAATGAAAAGTGAAAAAATTGGAGGACTAAGTGTCAATCCAAATAAAAAGTGAGGATTCAGAGAACTGGCAGTATTAATATATGTTAGGAATTGCACAGTAGGTATAATTTTTTTCCCAATCCTCACACGAGTACATTTTTTTTTCTTCTGCTTATCCTTAGATACAGTGGGAGAGAGGGAGAGAGAGGAAGAGAGAGAAACATCAAAGAGGGAGGGACACATCGACTGTTTGCCTCCTGTATAACCCAGATCAGGGACGGGAATGAACCACAACCGAGGTACATGCCCTTGGCCAGAATCAAACACGCAACTCATTGGTCTGCAGGCTGATGCTCTACAGCTGAGCCAAACCGGCCAGGGCTAAAAGGCATCCTTTTTTTTTTTTATCCTCACCTGAGAACATTTTTCCATTTTTTGTTCAGATAGAGTGGGAGGGAAAGAAAGGAAGAGAGAATGAGAAAGAGAGAAATATTGATGTAAAAGGGACACATCGAGTGACTGCCACCTGCACAGCCCAACCAGGGCCGGAGACAAATTGCAACCGAGGTACGCGCCCTTAGCGGGAATCAAACCCGGGTCTCTCTGGACCACAGGCTGACGCTCTAACCGCTGAGCCAAACTGGCCAGGGCATGGGCATCTTTTATAAGGTGAAGGAAAAGGGAAAACTGTAGATGGATGTGAACAACCAACTTGAAGTTACAGGTCTTAAATTCATTCTGCTGCAACTCAAACTAATTTAAGGACACCAGGATAGCTAGCAAAAGTAAAAGATAAACACTAGTATCTCATATCCATAGTCCCTAACTGAAATTGGCACTCTATTTCCAGCCATCTCCCATTTCTATATGGCTTCACTTTTTCCTACTACAGATGAGGTTCTCATACATGTGGGAAAGAATGTCACTAGCACCCTCCCAAATAAACAACTTTAGAGAGGAGAGAGCATCTTTCTCCTTGCATTCATACATCAATTTCAAAGGATTCTGACTGGGTATGTGTGAGTAACAGGCAATCACTGTTGCAACAGGAATGCCTAGGCTTGGGTTATAAAACTATAAGACTGACTGATAGCCCACCAACTACTCACAAGAGAAAAGGATGTTTCCCCGAAATGATGATATATTGAGATGACAAAAACTATAGATAGATAGGTAGGTAGGTAGATGGACAGATAGATAGATAGGTAGGTACGCAGGTAGGTAGATAGGTGGATAGATAGGTAGGAAGGTATAGCTAGATAGATAGATCAATCGATCTTCTAGCAGACACAATCTCCAACAACCCAATTTTAATTGGTGACGATTTTACATTTTGGAATTACGTGACTTTTTAAAAGCCAATATTTGTTTTCAGCTATTGCTATTACCATTTCTTGAAATGAGACCCATGTGAAGCCCACTCCATTTTCTTAAGCTTCAAGTCACACACCTTCATTCTAATATTCTGACACGTTTCATGCAGTCATACCAATTACAATTTTACATTGTTAGTCAGACTTTGCTCAGTGTTTCAAGATGGAATAATCCAAATTGTTTTGGTCAGTCATCATTCAGCAGCCTCTTGTTTAGTTCATTATATTGGAAGCTTTCTTTTTTTCAATCCTCACCAGAGGATATGTTTTGCTTTGTTTTTTTAACGATTTGAGAAAAAGAGGAAGGGAGAGAGAGAGAGAAACGCTGATGTGAGAAACACTGATCAGTCAGCTCCCAAGAGTGCACACGCCACAGGGATCAAACCCACAACCTGAACATGTGCCCTGACCGGAATCCAACCTGCTATCCTTTTGGTGCATGGGACAATGCTCCAACCAACTGAGCCACACCAGCCAGAGCTGAACCTTTCATTCTTCATAATATTACTTTGTTCTAACCAAAAACTACTTTTTCTGCTTATTTTAAAATGAAAAACCATGTATATTTTACTTAAGCCAAAAATAAAATTATAACTTATTAACTTACTACTTAATAGACTATAATATAGTACTTCGACCTTTACCATACCTCTTTCTTCAAGGAACAAAAGGCACACAATTTAATGCCTGGACAAAGCCACAATCAGGAACAGTGATCAAAAGAAGAGATGATATCTGGAAATGAAGACCAAGATTTTAAAACTTTGACTGTAAAAACGGTAAGTAAAACAGTTTTATACTCTCAATTATGTTTCATATTCAACTTGTGTGTATAAATTTAGAAGAAAAATAAACCTCTCTGCACTTAGGCAAATAACCTATCATTGATACCCAGTGATAACATCATGAATTTACCAGTCAGAAAACTCAAAGCTTAGAAGGGAGCTTAGAATCAAACTAATTCAATATCTTCATTTATTACAAGATAGGGACAATGAGCCTTATACAAAGTCACAAAGCTAGAACTAAAACCTGCATCGAATTCTAACCCAGCTATCCTACCGCCATGCTACCTCTTAATAGATACTTTTGATATCCAACATCACATGAAAACTGCTCGCTGCATGAAGCCAACACCCCATACATAAGCCTACACACCTGGGATCAGATAATTAATAAAAATTTTTCAACTTTATTATAAATTTTTTCTTCTGTGTATAGTGCTCTGCCAAAAAACTTTTAGCAGGGTACCTGAAGGAAACTGGGCAAGATTCAAATCTTTTATCATTTAAAAAAAAGTTGTATTAAGTGATCTAAAGCACACAGTGCTTCAGTAACAGTTCCAAACAGAAAGTAAACAATAAAAGTACACTAAAGAACATGTGTAAAACATATTTTAAAGTCAAACTGTACAGTTATATTCCCTCTGGTATGTCAAGCTATAGAAACTTTGGGGACTGCAGTATACTATTACCAGAGAGGAGAGCATAGGACTTGAAGTGTAATAATGATAAAAACCTCAAGCATTTAAAAGGCTCATGTTATCAATGTGCACAGTAGATATTCATTGTGGTTGCTGTCTTTTACTTCTTCCACAAAACCAGACATAAAGTGCTTTGAATTGACATTTATACTTACTTTGATGGCAACAGTAAGAATAAATTTGAATGTGCAAAACAGGTTGTTAGATACCCATATTTTATCCCTTCCTCCCCCTTTGGTAACAATATTCTAGAGAAGGGACTCATATTATTTGTGAGCATTTTAACAAAAATGAATATGGTCTACTATGTTTACCCTCCCTATGAAATGGAACATCCTAAAAATGTTAATACAATGCAACGTCTTTATGAGTTTCTGAAGAATACAGTTTTGCTTAAAGATAATGAACCCACTTCTATTGATTAGCAATTCCACTCTGAAAAATGTTAGGGTATTTCACTGAATCAATTTTAATGGTTTCTATCAATTCAACCCAAGAATATTAACGTCAAAGTACAGTCAAATCGGATCTCTTGCTGCATAAAAACCAACTCAACAGTATCAGTAAACTAGGCCTATCACACAGCTGCTCCAGTTCATGAAATTCCTACCCTAAGGTACAGTTTGGTGGTCCTCATGTTTAATCACTGTGACAATCGTGCAAAGTTCAACATTCTTAAGGATTCCTTAAACACTGACTTTTTCTAGGGACTCTTAAACTTTTGATAACCACACTAATGTTTTCACTAAAATACCTCACAAACACTACACCTAAAAAAAAACAAAACACAAACCTGAGCCTTACCTTTTGCATTTTTAACCTCAAAGCTACCATGTCTGTTTCGTGGGTCTACTTAAGAGTTACGACATCTTACCTCCTATGCATTCACCCTATCTGTTCTCAGTTACCACAGCCATCTAGGAAGAGCCTAGCTACTTGACAATGAAGACACCATATTAAGAAGACACTCAAAATGGACCCTACAAGTGAGAAAGCCAGCTACAAAGAAAGCATCTGCCACTGGGTGTGGTTGGGTTTGCAGGGAAGAGTGCCTTTGGCCAACTCGGAGGAAGAACGCGCGCCGCAGGGCTGAGCGCATCCGCCAGAAAAGACCTCCAAAGACCACAGACTGGACCCACAATGGGGCCGCCGTCGAGTTGGGGTGCCATGGGGCTGCGAACCTACGGCTCGAGGGGCGCGGTCTGACGGGTGCCGGCGCTGTCTCCCCAGCCCCGCAGCGCCGAGGGGTGCTTCGAGCGCCGCGCGCCCCCTCCGTCCCAGGCGCCGCGCCCGATCCGCCCCTTCCTCCGGGGTTCCGCTGCCCCTCGGGCGCGCGGAGGCACACCGCCCCGCGCCCCGCTGCAGCCCCTGGCTGTGGGGACAGGGAGAGTTGAAAAGCCCGGACGTAAAACAAGCACAGGCCAAGGTTGGCTCCAGCAGCCTGCAAGAAAACCAACGGAAAGAACCAACTTCCCTAGAAAAACTTTGCAGCAAGTTAGGCGAAAGCACTGAATGGCCGGGACTATTTAACAGGCGCTTCCTATCTGGAGGCGGATCCCTGAGCCGCTTCGGGGGACCCTGGCGCCCCACAAACTCGCCCTTTGCCCCCTGGCTGGGCCTCCAGAAGTCTCGGCATCCGAACAAGTCTGGGCGGCCCCGCTCACAGGGAATACCTGTCGTGGTCCCCATTGCCTGCGAGTCCCTGATGGCGGCCATTACACTTCCATCCGGGTATCGCCGAGAGCCGACCGCCGCGCTCCGGGAGCGCCTGCTGCGGCGGATGGATCCGCGCCGCACCTGGGGCAAGCGGAAGAGGACGGAGGCCGGCAGGGCCCGCGCCTCTGCCTGGCGACACTAGGCCCCTGGCCGGACTGGGCGCTGACCTCTCGGAGGAGCACGGTTGCTCGGGGCCGGCCACGGCAGCGGCCGGCTCGCCCGTCTGCTCACCAGTAGCTGGAGAGAGCCTACTCCCAATGGAATGGTGTGGGCACCCACTCTGTGCTCTTCAGAGGAGACACCAGAAGCAGGAACCGTGCTATTGGCAAGCCCTTGCTGCCTGGGAATGGTCTCCGTCCCGAGATTGTAATCATTTCCGGCTTTGCAAATGGCGTCTCCCCTCCCCTTGCTTTGGAGACCCAGGTTTTGGCGGCCCTTGCAGCCCATGTCAATGAAGGAAGATGCCACAAGCAGCTGTGGAGGACGTGGTGAATTCCAAACACGCACATAGTTAATGACTGATCTGCAAACTCGTTACAACAAGGGAGGCTCTCGTCCCCGTCGAAGGAATCCCTTGGCATCACACAACGGGGCTAGACAAAGAGGCCAATTAATGTTATGACTGGCTTTCCCCCCAAAGACCAGTATGGCTACTGGTTTCACCTTGGGCGCATTTCTGAAATCCAGCTTACTAATTCACCTCACTCTTTACACAAATTATTTTACTTAAGATGTAAGAAGAATTGCCTGGGGTGGAGAAATACACTAAAATATTAAAAGCGAAAGTCTCTTTTTTTATGCCCCCTTTTTTGTTTTCCGTTAAATAGATATGGAGTTTATAATTGGGGGAGAAAAAAAAAGTTGTTTACCATAAACATTTTTCATTGTCTTGGAGTTTGCTTTTGAAAACGCTGACCTGGCCCTGGCCTGTGGCGCAGCGGTTGGAGCGTCGGCCTGCGGTACTGAAAACGCTGACCTGTAGCCATACAGAAGATTTTCTCCACGCTTGGACAGAAAGTACACGGAAGTAACCTCACTTTGTTTTTAGGAAGCTTTCTTATCACTGCCTTAGTCCACAGTATTCCTCCTGGGAAAGGCAAATGAGAGATACTCGGATGCCTTTACACCAGGAGAAATATACAGTAAATGTCAAAAGGAATGCCATTATAAAATGAGAAACATGGAATGGATTTTATTTTGCATTAAACGTCATCCCCCCTTCACTCCAGTCTTCATGTCCATGCAAGTCAGAGAGAGGATAGGGATTTTTTTTTTTTTTTAATAGCAAAAAAAAAAAAGATTGTTGGGAACGTGGACAGAGTTGTTCGTTTTGTGTTTTGACTTAAACCAATCATGATTTATACCCTGGAACTGGGCAAATTGCACCTGAGGAAAAAAACAGTAGTTAACTAGCAAGGAGGAAAGATAAATAACTTTTGGTTGGCAATTAAAGATGTTTGGAATCTGCTAACATCACAAAAAAGAGATGAAAGCAGGTATTATAGACAAACAAAAGAGTGCCTATGAAATAATCTAAGCAATTCACTGGAAATACAGACGAACATATTAAACTATACCATGAGGAGAAAATCAGCTTTGAGCTTTAGGAAACTGCACAAGACAAATGACTTGTTTTCTCAACCAAACAAAGAAGTGATGGAAGGGAAACCTATCAATTAAAAGAGACCTAAAATATATATCAATCAATCACTGTATGTGGAAGTTACTTACTTGGCTACTGATTTAAGCAAACAGGCAAAAACACATTTATGACTCGTTTGAGACAACTGGAAATATGAAGAGTGGAGATATTTAATGATATTAAGAATTGTTTTGTTATTTTAGGTGTAATGTGTATACTGTTATGTGTTAAAATTTTATCTTGTAGAGATATATGCCGAAAGATTTACAGATGAAGTTGATAATGTGTCCCAGATTCATTTCAACATAAAGAGGTAGGGTTGTAGGTGAGGGTAGAGATAAGATTAGCCTGAGTTGATCATTGTTGACCCTGGAAGATGGGTACAGAAGGAACCATTATAAAATTCTGTCCACTTTTTGTGTTTGCATTTCATTTTTACATTTTCCATAGTAAAATATTTTTTAAAGTGAAGAGAAGGAAGCTGAAGGAGACTCCATAATGAAATTTTCTATTTCATTGATTTTTTTTTAACAGGAGAGGAACCACAGCAGAAAAGAACACTATCCTGAGAGTCAGTTTTGCATTTGCTGAGTAAATCAACTGGGTGAGAAATATGTCCATAAATGATAGGTCTTTAACCCTATCAGCAAGATGGCCAGTGTTCCTCAAAATCAAGAAACCAGGGATTTGCAAAAGGAACTGGCTCTCAGGACAAAGGGCAGGGAGCCAACAGATTTAAATGAAAAAATGTCCATATGTAGACTGAAATTACATCACTGCCTTTTCTCCCTCTAGTGAAATGGAAGAACTTAAGAAAAATACTCATAGAGATTGGCATTTATGGGTCTTGCAATTGAACTCTAAAACTCCAAATAAAGTCCACCAGTCAATAACCAATCCAATCAATGTTCAATTAATTGCCTCACTTTTAAGTATAAACTTTAGAGAGCCAAGGATAACCAGAAATTCAAGAAAAGGCTCTAAAAGTATATATAGTTTTTTAAAAAAAAAACAAACAAACATAAAAAGTAACTCTGAAGAAAGTTTATAGACCAAGCAGAAAAAAAGCTAACTGTAGTAAACAACTATAATATCCCCAGATAGATAAGAAAAGTACTGCATCTATGAAAGAAGAAATACTATGAAAAGGGACTATCCTGAGGCCAAGAAAGAGCCCTTGAAAATTAAAAACATGCTCTAAATTATTCAATAAATCGTTTTGAAAATAAAATTGTAAAAAATGTCCCCTCAAAACAAAAAAAATCAGAATTAAAAAAACAGAAAATATAAAAAATTAAAATCTAACATGCAATTAATAAGAGTTCCAGAAAATGAGAAAGTAAAAATGAAATTATTAAATAAAAATACAAGAAAACATATAGAGAAGTGGACAAATCACAAATGTACAGTGCAATGAATTTTCTCAAAGTAAATACACCCATGTGATCACCACAGGTAAAAAAAAAAATTCTAGCACCTCAGAAACTACCCTCAAGCCTCTTCCCAATCACTACACACTTGCCCCTCCTTAGAGGCGATCACTTTCCTGACTTCTATTCACCAAAACTAGTTCAGCCTTTTTTTCTTTTTACATTACATAAGTGAAATAAATCAGTATGATTGTGCTTTTGTGCATTTATGCATTCAACATATCATCCATTTTCTTGTGCAGCAATAGATAATTATTTTTAAATTGCTGTGAACTGTTACCTTGTATGAATATACCACAAGGTATTTATCCTTTCCATTGTTGATAGACAGTTGGATAGCTTCCAATCTGGGGTAATAACAAATGGTGCTGCTATGAGTGTTTTTATACTTGTCTTTGATTACACATGTGCACATTTATGTTGTTGGCTATATACCTAGGAGTAAACCTGCTAAATCATATTATTATGTATATTTACTTTTAGTATGTATTACCACATTATATCTAAAGTTATTATACTAATTTTCATTCTGACTAGCAACATATAAGAGACTACTAGTGGTTCCACATGCACACCAATACTTGATACCATGGTTAGGTTTGTATTCTATTATTTAATAATGATGTTGAGCTCTTTCTATATATTTATTAGCTAGTTAGATTCTCTTTTGTGAGGTGTCTACATCTTTTGCCCACTTTTCTATTTGTTTGTCATTGATTTACAGGAGTTCTTTGGATATAGTATTCTGGATGAGTTCAGAATTAAATGTGTTGTAAATATATTCTTCCTCTTTGTGGCTTACCTTTTCAATCTCTTTTTCCCCGCTTTATTGAGGCATAGTTGGTATACCAAAACAGTACATAATTAATGTATATAATTAGGTGACTTTGCACACATGTATACACTCATGTTATTTATTATCACACCATTAAAGTAATAAATACATCTATCACTACCAAAAATTTCCTTGTGTGCCTTTGTGGTTTGTTTTGTTTTGTGGTAAGAATGCTTAAAATGATCTATCCTCTTAACAAAATTTTAAGTGCAAATACCATATTGTTAACTATAGGCACTAGGTTGTACAGCAGATCTGAGACTTGCTCATCTTGTATAATTGTAACATTATATCCATTGGACAACTCCCAAGATCCCCCTTCCTGCATTCCCTGGTAATCACCATTCTATTATCTACTTCTATATGTTTGACTATTTTAGATGCCTCATATTAGAGGAACCATGCTGTATTTGTCCTTATATGACTAACTTATTTCACTTAGCATAATGTCTGCCAGGTCTATCAATGCTGTCACAAGTGACAGGATTTCCTTTAATGGTATCTTTTGATGAACTTTTAAATTGTAATGTAGTTCAATTTATTTATTTCCTTTAGAGTTAGTGTCTTTTCATGCTGTTTAAGAATTGTGTTCCTACTCCAATAACTATCTTTTCATATATTACCTTCCAGAAGTGTTGTTGCTCACTTTTAAATTTAGAGGTAGGAGTTGCTTCATTTTTTTGACATAGAGATATTCAGTTTTGCCAACATTATTTATTGGAAAGACAGTCCTTTCATTACTGTTCTACAGAATCATCTTTTTCATAAATCAAGTGTCCACATAAATGTGATGTATTTCCAGACTGTCTCTTCTGGCCAGTTGTTCTTATTTCTATATACTTGCATCAGTAAAACAGTTTTAATTACTGTAACTTTATAGGAGTCTTGTTATAAGATGAGAAATTCTTCCCACCTTTTCCTTCTTAATTCTTTCAAATTGTTGTACATACATACTCTCAGCCCCTTGTGAACTTAAATCTACAATTTTAACATTTGTTGTTGTTTTCTTCTTTCTTCCCTTTTCTGTGCTACTTTTTCTCCCTTTCTTTTCTTCTTTTGGATTGATTTTCTTTTTTGCTATTCCTAAATATCCCACCAAAAAAAAAATCTATTAGAAACCATACACAAATTCAGTAAAGTTGCAGAATA